GTCTGTTGTGTGGCCGTCAGCTAACCTAACTGGGGGTGTTTGTCCGTTGTGCACAATTCCAAATTTGTGAGCTGTTGCTCGGGTGGTATACGATTTTTGCGCTTGAGAGTCAAGTAAGGCCGTCACAAAGCCGTCGTCAAATTCTAGCTCCATAGCGGGAGTAGTAATTTTACGCGGACGTGTTTGTGCGGCAGTACTCAGGTGGTTAGCGGNCGTGTTTGTGCGGCAATACTCAGGTGGTTAGCGGTTCGAACGGGGAGCGTTGAAACGGTTTGTTCGCCGGCAGTATTAATTGCCATAAGCGGGTAGGCCGTTCCTGCCGTATTCCCCTCCCCCACGGTGATCAACATATCGTTGGCCCGACTCGCGCTATAGTCGTTACCTATTACGTCTACGAACGTGTGACAAGTATTTTGAATAATCTTATGGTCCTCATTGTGGATGAGGGGTGTGGTGGTGGTGAAGTGTGGTGCTACAGCGTGCCCACTATAATGACAGTGGGTCTGTAGGGGTGTTGGTAAAGTTTTTGTGAAAGTACTGTGGTTGATAGTAAGATTATTTAAAATAGTGTCATTTTGATCGAAGAAAGCGCATCCGTTTTTGTTACCGACGATGATTGACCGTGCGATTTAGTCGGCGCGCTGATTAGTTCGATATTGTTTTGAGCGGAATTGTGTTTGTTTGCAAAACTCGGGTGGTATATGACTTTTGCGCTTGTGAGTCAAGCAATGCCGTCACAAAACCGTTGTAAAATTCAAGTTCCACAGCGGGAGTTGTAATTTTACGCGGGCGTGTTTGTTTGGCAAAACTCGGGTGGTTTACGGTTCGAACGGGGAGCGTCTGAACGGTTTGTCCGCCGGCGGTGTCAATCGCCATAAGCGGGTAGGCCGTCCGGCTGGTATCCCCTCCCCCACGGTGGCCAACATGTCGTTGGCCCGACTCGCGCTATAGTCGTATAACACGGGGACATTTGTTTTCTCGGCCGTATGATTGATTTTTTTAAAGACCTTGAGGACCGCATTGTGCCCCTCACTGTGGGTGGGGGGTGCGGTGAGTGAATTTAAAGGGGCTACAGCTTGTCCTGCGTTACGAGCGAGGGGCTGTAGTCGAGGTTGAGGGCCCGGTGAATGGGCGAGGTGAAGTGGAAGGTCGTTAAAAATTTCGTCATTTTGGCCGAGAACTACGCGCTCGATTTTGCTATCGGCGACGAACGAACTGGTTGTTCGCGCTGCGCGTTGTTAAATTGCAATTTAGATTTGAATGTGATTGTGATTGTGGGCCAGCTTAACTGTCGGTGCTTTTCCAGTCATAGTGTACGTTATTGACCGTATTTTAATCGAATTAACCAAAAATGAAAAGTACAAGTGGTAGTTTGTTTTTGTTATTCGGAAATACGATATCAACAATCGCGAGAATACGCGCTTTGCGTTCGCGTATGAACGTTAACAATGCTGGCCGTTTGTATTATTATTGTTATTGCTAGATAGTGTACTAATAAAGCACTATGACAGTGAATTGTACCTGGGAATGTGATTGCAATGATGGTAATCGTAATCTTTATGATCGTGACGACACAATTAATAATACAAACGGTTTTATGGGACCCGGTTGTCAAATGTAACGATCGCTGTGGTATGATAATGTGTATGATCACCCTACCTGCCTAGCGGTTTTATCGAAACACTGAAATGGTTGTGTTCGCGGCGTTGTGCGACTCAAGGTCGTCAGTGCGCGTGTGTGTATAAATACAAAATCGCCAGAAATCCACTTTTACCGTGTTTAAAAATACACCGAAGGTGGAAATCTACTATTCGCGAGGTAGATAGTATCTAAATAACCGGGTGGGAAATCCACTGCTGTCACCAGTGAACTGTGTGATTGAAATAATTTGGAGAAAAGTGAATGTAAAGGAAACCTAGCTGTCTTATTTGAAAAATAAAAATGAAGTCAGCAACTGGTTTTCTTACCTTAATCCAATTTAAGACCGGTTGAGATCCTTACCGGGGAGCCAGTTGACACGACTTGCGTCGCAAAAATGTGGTCGACACTGGTTTTGAGGGTAGAGACCCGTGGGCCGTTTATTAAATGAGCGACAACAGATTATGTTAACAAAAATAAAACAAACCGAAAAGATAAACACAGTAATAATAATCTTCGCATAATATCGCGGCACTTTCGCTGGCGTCGACGACGCGATGTTCGGCGTAATCCTTGGACGGCAAAATGGTTAGCAGCGTTGTAGGCGACGGTGCGCGGGTGCGGTTCGGCTG